GCAGGAAATCAATCCGTTTGAAAGGCTCTCTCGGGCGGGGATTAAGGGGAAAGGAGCGGAGACAGAATAAAAGACAGGTGAGTCGTGTGGACACTAACCTCCAGCGGAGCGCGGCCTTGTCGGCGTCTGAGATTGGCAATCTCTTTGGAAAACCAACAGAAAAGTGGAGCAGAGAGAGGGAGGCAGCGCTCCTCATCCTGAAGTCAAGGCCCATAAGCGCCTGTCAGTACCCGTTGAGCTGCTGCATCTTTTATGAGGAAAGCCTTGTTGCTTATTACAATATTTACAGACGTTTAAAGATTGCAAGCGTTGTTACTGCATTAGCTTGGCTCGGTGGCCTGCGCTCACTGGCCCTCGCAGAAGATTTTATTCCAGATTTGTTAAATCGAATCGCTGCACACGACTGCAAAGGAGAGCGAGACTTGTTTTTCCTGTTCGCATATGGAATCAAATCCTTCTTAAAACCTTTATGAAGCCGTTTAATGTCATAAGCAACGATACACCGGTCACACTGGCAAAAAGCCTGTATGCTCCACTGATGTCTGTTAAATCAGTAATATCATCACAGAGTGTTGTGTACGTACCGTCCATGTCACTTCTACAGCTCTGTTTATAGTCTGTAAGTGAATTTATACCATCTGTTTCCCCAGGGGGGATGCTGTCCTACAGCAGTGCCGTGATCTTTGACACTTTCCATAAGGCACACACAATATGGAGACGTGTGGATGCACTCTCACTTCCATCATGTCAAAGCAGAGAGAGAGAGAGAGAGAGAGAGAGAGAGAGAGAGAGAGAGAGAGAGGCTTCAACAGACCAGAGCTCAGTTTAATCAATGCTGCCGCCTTTCAGGTATCATTTCATATATGAAAACTGCAGTCTCATATTACAGCAACGGCATATCATTTTGGTTTGATGCATATGCTATATTCCGACTATTCCTGTTTCCTTAATTTTCTCTTTTTTTTTATTGGGAGGGCAAACCACAGAGGGACGCTATCCATCAGACTAGCTCAGAGGCAGGAAAAAAAATACAAACTCGAATAAATATTTCATTAGATTATTCTGTGATTTAATGTGCTTCTGCTTGGCTGAGGGTCTACGGCAATATCTTCTGTCCATTTATAAACGCATTAACACAATGACACCCGAGACTAGCTTGATATTGATACCCGCGCTGAGTTGGCCGGCAGATTGAAGCAGCGTTAGGATTGTTTCGTCTGTCTGTCTGCTGTGCTGAAACACACCTGCAGTCGTTCTCTGTCATCTGAGCTCACGTTACTTAACCGCACGAGGGAAGATTAGTTAACCAAACTCATCGGATAAAATCTGTCCGGACAAACGGAGCTAATTCAACAGAAATCTACACTGAAACCGATACAGCATGGAGGGCTTTTCATGTATACATCCACTTATGCAAAGCAAGACTGTCAATTTCAACACGAAGATGGACGGGAAACAGCAAACTGAACACATGAATAAACTAAGACTACAGATTAAAGCCTTGGTTCATATGTATTTGCATAAACATGCCTTCTGCATGTGCTATAAGTGGAAGCCAATTAGAGTCAAAGGGAGAAGTTTTCACAGTCTGTGATAAATTCAACATCAGGAAATCCTCCACCTATTAATACCAATTGGGCGACAATAATTGGCAGGCCATCGACAGCGTGGGCAGAATTAATCATTTGAAGAGGCAGACTAGACTGAATTTTTAATTGGCAGAGGCAGCCACTGTTTAGGGAGGCAACCAGCTGATCACCCGAGAGACTGCTGCTTCAGACAATGCACATTTGCTAATCCTCTTGAGTCAAGTTATTATGACCATGCATTATTATCACGCTTTACAAACTAATTCCATGTTTTCCCTCATGGATTACCAAGGGGGGAAAATAGTTGCAAAAGAAAAGAGGAAATAATAAACACACAAAGCTCAATGTGGATGACATGGAAATCAAAATGACAGATGGGTGCAGTGACTACAAATGCACGACACTTAGAATGAAGAAAATAATGTGTTTGTGTTTGTGTGTGTGTGTGTGTGTGTGTGTTTATCCCTCTGTCCATCAATGTATTTGTCTGTCTGAATGTGCCTATTTGAGGGTGCCATTACAGTTTACTCATAATCCTTTTCTGCTTATTAACATGATTAACTATAAAATCACTTCATCAGAGATCACTGACACATTAGGGTTTGATTATGTATTGTTAATGGTGTGGCCTGGAGTCATTACATTTCAAACCATTTGACTGAACGGCATTTGTTGTTTGTTGTATTTGTTGTAAGTTATTGTATAAAGGTAAAAAAAAAATCACTTTGAGAAGAACATTTAGGATTAAGTTTGTATAATACTTGTACTCAGATCAGAGAGATTACCTCATCGATCTACATGTAAACATGCTAACATTTGGGATTTTTCGGTTTTAATTTAACTGAATAAACAAAAGTCCTGATTGACACACAGTAGAATCAAAGTTCACAGGATTGTTTTCACACTATTATATATACTTTGTTCCACAGCTCTTTGCAATTTGAGTTTTGCATTTCATACTAACAGGCGACCTGAAAAAGAGATTGTTTCACTGAAAACAAACATTTCTCATTTAAATTTCATACAAAGATTTGTTTTCAGTTTGTTTAACTTTACCACCAGAGCATGAATGATGTAATGTAGATGTATGATCATATTAATTTGTGATAGTTATTATAATACTATGGTGACAAAAAAACATCTAGGTGAGCAAATAAATCACTGTATTTATGCTAAGCTACTACTAAAAATAAACCACTGGATTTATTCCACAGCTGTAATTGTGTCAGATATTTCACTTGGATTATACAAAGATCTATCAAAGCTCAGTTTTCTATCAATGGAAATACATCGAAGAGCCTAAATTGTCTTTTCCCTGCCACCACGATCAGACGACAATCACTTAAGAGCTAAATGCTGCAATCATTATGCAACACAGGGCAATGTTATTTTGAAGACGTATGCACACACATGCACACGCAAACACGCTCCGAGGAATGCCAAATGAGTGCTGCACTGAAGACATTGTCCTCCCTTCTACACACCAACAATATCAGCTCAAGAGATGTGGCTTCATGAAATGTGTGGCTAACAGCAGCTACAATAATCGAATGGAACAGTACATCCAGTGTGAACCCTCACATCCTGTGAGGGTTTTGATCCAAATATGATCGCAGAGCAGATATTTTAGATCACCAGCTAATTGCATATTTTTTCCATTCCCTTCTATTACTTGTAATATCACTCATCATAATCTTATCTAAAGTTATTTGTGTGTTGCAATCCCGTGTCTTCTAAAGTCAATCCCAGAATGTCAATCATATGTTGAAGTCTGTCTTTGATCGGGCCTCGATGGAAGGGCTTTGTGACAGTTATGGACAAACCTTTGCAATGGTTGCGAATTTCATATCTTTTGAGGGTGATTTTATATGTCATAGGGGCCATTGTTTGCAATGTTTGCAAATGGCATTTACATTAGTGTCACAGATTGTTGTTTGTCTTTATTTTTTCAAATGTCACCGCAATAAAAAGCTTATCTCCATTACTAACATCCCTCACATATCAACATCCGCTCTGCAGGAGTGCTAGATGGGGAATACAATGGGGAGGAATTGAATTGAGAAAGACTTTTTTTTTTTTTTTTTTTTTTTACCAATAATGTGACAAAATGAAAGTTGTGTTTTTGGTCTGCGACATCTATTTGGGCAGATTTAGAAACACGGAGGTGAAAGCACACTTTAAACCGTAGACGTCATGCAGATGGACAATGTTGTCCAAAGGACAGTCTTTCTGGTTCTTCTCTCTTTGAATTATGATTCAAATGTTAAAATTATGATGACAATGAAAACAATAATTATGGCACTGCTGGTCACAGTCATTATTATCATGGAGGCGTAAATGTCACTGTGATGGTTTCAACCACTAAAGTTTATGGTTATTGTCCAACCTGGCTGTTTGCTAATGTATTCAGAAAATCAAAGTTGGTTGAAAGTGGTGACGATTACGGTGATGGTGATGATGATGACGATGACGTCTACACTGCGTGGATCGACTGCGTGACGTATTGCGAAATGGTTCTCCCGCACCCAGACAGTGATCTAGCCTACACCTTTGATAACCAACTTCATTATGGAAGGAGGAAGTTTCCACTGTGTGTGTGTGTGTGTGTGTGTGTGTGTGTGCCGACTGGATCTACACCCTCCACCTCCCGTTTCAGCGCGAGCAGCGCCGCGTCGCTCCCCAAACTCTCCGCGCCGACGTCCGTCATCTTGCGTCAGCTCTTGCGCCCCTTTTTGGAAGACGTTCGGTGGCACTTGAACTGATTTCGCTGTGTGTCGAGTTTGCACCCAACGCAGCCCCATTCGCACATGGGGAGACGTTAAAGAAAAGCCGATGGGATGAATAAATGATGGCGTCCCTCCGCAAAAAAAAAAAAGATGGGACTGGCATGGGAAGGCTCTTTAAAAATGCATCCTTTCCAAGCGCCTCTGCCCCACTTAAAGAGCGTGTTGAGAAAATAGCAATACAGAACATGACACACACACATACACACACACATACAGTTTATCACCCCATCATATCATTCATGACACTTCAAGCGCTACTTATAATTGTAAAAAAAAATTGCTTGTCCAGAAAATGGGGATTTATCAAAATACAAATACAAATGCTCTAAAAAATATTAGATAAGAACAACTTTATAAGCTATTATAACTGGAACAAATAAACACACCTCAAGAATGTTAGATGAGAATATGCGAGCAATGATGCACATGATGAATTTTAGACCAATATCAGATGTGGATTAAGATTGATCAAATGTCAAAAATGTCAAAAATTTAAAAAGTGACAAACACCCGTATTTTTTCGCGTCACTATTTCAACACAAATTAATTCAAAAGGTACAGGAAATAATAAGCAATTCGGCAGCTTTATATGGGCCTTGCAGCCATTTGAGGGGCGACACGTTACCTTTGTGCATGCCGGTGTATCGGTCCTTGAGAACTGTCAGTTCGTGGATTTTCCCAAACTGTTCAAACAGGGGTTTCAGGTCTTTTTCCTCCAAGTTCCGCGGTATCTGCCCGATAAACAGCTTAATGGCATCTTGGTCTTTCATGTTGCCGCTCTCCGGATGAATTGAAATGGGTTCTGACCCGTTCATGGGTTTCGGAAATGTGAGCTGAGGATACTGGTACTGATGTGGGATAAGTAGTAGTGGTTGTTGGGTCGGTGGCGCCCCCGGTCCGGTGTAAACCAAGCTGGAGTAAGCGGGCTGGGGCTGCTGTGGATGGTGCTGCCTTCTTGTTTCAGTCTGAGTGAATCTGGCCATTCTGAGCTGGGAGCAGAGTGGATAATAATGACAACACACACACACACACACACACACACACACACACACACACACACACACACGCTGGGAGAGCAAGCACTCAGCTGGAAACCAGGCTGACTTTCTATCCGACACACAACACACACGCACACACAGTACAAGGCAGGCGGAGGGAGGGGGGGTGATAGTGCCGGAATAAGCGCGCACAAGAGCGATATTAGACGCTCTGGAGTGACACCCAGCGGCCATAAGAGAGGCAGCAAGGTTTGTTTGTAATGTGGACTCTGACCAGGTTTTTTTTTTTTTTTTTTTAAATGACTGAGCATGTTTGTTTGTAAAACACTTTCCATCTAAACAGTGGTGGAAGAAGACCTACTGCAAAAACCTTTGTTTTACACCTTTATACTTTAACTTTAACTAAAATATCCCTTAGGCCTTTTCCTCAGCAGACAGTTTGACTTGTCGTAGCAGGAGGAGCACAGGTGTTACTAATAACATTAACGATGGCTCCTTTCTATTTGAGTGTCCCAGTTAGACCACCACAGCCATCATTAAGTTCATTATTTACACCTGTGCATTGTTAAATGTCTTTCACGACAAGGCCTGGTAGTACAACTAAAAGCTCTTCATTAAATGTTTTACTGGAATTTAATTAAACAAGTGTTGGCAGTCATGTGACCATATACTGCACTCTTTCAGAAATGATTGATGTTTTTAATGTGAACGCAGTATTTCAATGTAAGTTGCATGGGTCGTGCTGAGTCTGACAATTAAGTAAAGTAAAATGCTGACATATAGTGAAGTGCAATCTGCGAAGTTGCTGCAGCGGTTGGATGAAGTTTAATTGAAACTTTGTAGATAAATCAAGTGAAATGGTGCTATGTTTCCGTCGGGAATGTGGTGGAGCAAAGTGAAAAGCCTCACAAAGTTAAAAGTCCCAAGTTGTAATTCATCAGTTCACAAGTGTTAATGATAAAAAGCTGGCATCAAGATGTCAAAATCCAACTCTAAGTGTTTAAAATACGGAGGATTAGTTGCACAGAAATCAGGCAACTGCTCCATTATCTTTAAAGAGGCTTTACAGCAACAAAAGTTGGATACTTCTTGAAAATCCCAAATCAGAAATTGTATATTACAATCTGAAAATGATACTTTTCTTGCATCATAGGGCTTCATACTCAATGTAGCTGTATGGGAAAACAAGAGTGAACAATGAAGGCTCTTTGCTCCCTCTCTTGGGGTTTTCTATAGCTCTCTTGCCAATATCTTGTCTAACAAGTGTGCATGCATTCCAAAGCTTTAAAGAGCAAAACAATATTGTGTTAAAGTTGTCTTACATAAAAGACACTCAGTTTGGACTTAAAGAACTGTTTGCTGAATCATTTTTTTCTATATTTAACTCTTGAGGTTTCACCATACAAATACAGTATAAGACAAATACAGTATGAATATCTACTAAGGTGATCATGTATGTTGTACAGTAAATGCTGCTGCAAGCAACAAGTGCACTATCTTTCTAAGTGAATGGTATCTGCAATCTGTCATTAGATTGAGTCAAGGGACCAGCAAACATTAACCACAATTAGCAGACTTACTGTAAGTACTTTTCAAATAGCAAGCAGGCTAATCCCCCAAGAGAGGTGTTATTTGCATCATTTGCCTTCTCTTTGCAGACACTGTCAACAGCACTCAGATCCAAATCCATCATTAAAACAAAATCATCAATTAACCGAAAGAAGAACAACACAGACAAAACTGATACGCAACAGGGACAATAGTTTGGTTTACAATTTAGCCACAAACCACCCTTTAACTTAAAAACATCCGCTGGACAGATTTCTAATTACAGCCTATTTAACAGTGGATTAAATAAAGTGATATATACTGTCTGTGACAGCAGGCTCAAGGCTGCAAGGTGAATCAATACGAGCTGCTGCTGGCGGCTGCTGTTGCTTCTCTCACTGTGGAGGAGCGGCACCGCAGGGGTCCCCTCCCAGATCTTTGACTCACCAATGGCTGCATCACCGTGTGAGAGAATTGCATTCAACTGCCTCCGTTGCTCTGAATTCAGCAGTGCACCTGTAAAGCAAGCGAAGGCTCACATCCGAAGGGGCCTCGGCCTGCAGTGGGAAACAGACTGTCAACAAAGTTCAGGGTTGAGAAGTTTGGAGAGAGAGACATAGGCTCTCCAGAGCAGATGGTTGTTTTCACTGGGAGGAGGACAATTTCAGCTATTGAACTGGTGCTCATAATATTTCTTTCTGCAAAGCTCAATAACTGTTAAGAGAGGGAAAGACATCAGCAGGCAGGGGTACACATTGACATGACCAGTCAATAAAGCGGTGGGTGGTGGCTGCACAGACACAGGGCTTTTTTATTTTATTTCATTGTAAACATGTTCTTGAATGTAATTCTTAGAAGAAGTAGATCCCAGAGGGCCGTGCGTGACGGCCGAAACTGCTGTTTTTTTTTCGATTGGCCACAGTCACAGTGTTGCTTTATGCTCTGCTCATCGTGTTCCACATGTATTGATCAAAAGAGGCAGGGTTTCTCACTGAATGTGGCCCGGCCATCTGAATGGCATGTTGGCAGGGTACGGGAGTGAAGTGTTTGGTGGATGGCTCAGCATGTTAGCCCTCTTACATCTGCAGTGGGGAAACAAACGGGGACGCAGTGCAGCTCATGTTGAGTAAGAGCACTGAGCTGTCATGGCACCGGCTCTCCAGAGTCCGAAGGGAGGCTGAGTGGCTATTTTTAGGGATGTGGTCAACACAGGGGGGAGGGGTATTGAGAACTTCCACTTCATGGTTTTTTATTGACCAATGCCATTAGTGTTGCACCAAGCTGAAAGCAGAGACAAGAAATCAATAAAGGTCACACTATTAGTGCGAACTAAAAAAAGTTACATACAATTTAACCGGCTGGCGTTTATTCTGCTGCTTGTTAACCAGTCTGGACCCTGAGAGGGAGGCAGCCGGGCTGGATCTGTTCAGCTTGGGAAGTCTGGAAGGCCTAGAGGGAGACAAATGCAGCCAGGGGAGTCATTTTGCATTCTGTGTGCACTTGTAGACATACAGTCAAGACAGGCAGGCAGACACGCTCACACACAAACACACACACACACACACACACACACACACACACACACTTCCTAATTACCCAAATTCAACATTATTTTCCACATCCACATCCAGTAACTCACTTACATATTGTGCAAAGACAGCAACAAGGCACATAGCACACAGCAAATACGAGCACACACAATTTAACTTGCCATATGCCACCCAGTCAGGAGTTGAAGGCAGCGACTGAATGAGGAACTTGACGAAACAACACTTTGCCGTTAAGGGGGAGCTTCTTCTCTGCTTGGGCTGGCATGGTGAAGTTCTGAAAGTGCAGTTGGGGTTTAATAAGCGGGAAGAGTTGGAGGTGTCCCTCGTGCCTAATTCACCATTGCACTCTGGTTATGCATTGCAAAGCATACTCGTTCGACTGTGAGGTGTTGTTCGAGAAAATTAAGGTGTGATGTGATGATGGCATACCACGCTGGAGACAGTTTTATGGACCAGTGGCTTAACAGGCAGATGAGATGTGATAAGAGCAGGTTGAACTGTGGAGTTATGGCGCCGCACCTTTTTCTCAATAAGGGACCTGGTCTAAAAGTTGTGTAGAGCTCTTCGATATCGATCAGAGCTTTTCCACTGAAGAACACAAACATGTCTTTCCTAATGATTTTTTTCTCCCTTTGCAACCATTCAGAGGAACACATAATGTGTGATATATGTACTGTATACATTCTCTTTTTGTGGATTGAAAATAATCAAGAGACAGATTTTAATTTAAAAGCACGTATTTTTGAGCACCCCAATCTTACATTTTTAATTCCAATTACAACACGGATGTAGTCATTAGGTGAGAAAGATAACTGGCTCTTTCATTTGGGCTCACTGTCTTGATCATTATGTGCTAAATTATGGGACTAAATACAATCTTCTTTATTGAAATCTTAACTTGAACCGCATCAGAGCAATTTTGAAAGTTCAGCTTTCTTAAAATTTGCCTAAATATACCCCAATCTAATAATCTCTTATTACAGATTGAAACATTTCTCATTTTCCCAGTTATTCCAGTCTACTTTATTGTTTGATTCTAGTTGAGTCATGGCAGCTGACTGATTTGCAGTGGTGGAAAGTAACTAAGTACATTTTCTCATACAATCTTGAGGTACTCAAAAATTCACTTGAGTAATTCCATTTTAACTATATAATTCTACTCCACTAAATATTGTACTTTTTACTCCACTACAATTATTTGATAACTTCAATTAATAGTTACTGTGCACATCCGGATTATTAATGCAAAACATAACAGACAAATAAATTATGAATAATAATAATAGATGGTGAGCCCTGGGGGGAAATTCACAAGCTACCCAGCAGCATGCCAAAGTCAAATTAGCCCCATCTTTACCGCCTAGAGACCATGAATACACATTAGTGAGTCAATAATTATAATCCAATGATATAATCATTCTGAAATGGCCCATTCTACATAATAGGTATTTCTACTTTCCCTATATATGTAAGATATTTTGAACGCAAGACTTTTACTTGTAACAGAGTATTTGTACTTAGTGGTATTACTACTTTTACTTTTAAGTAAAAGATCTATGTACTTCTTCCACGATTGCTGATTTGGCTCAAGCTTCGACATCAATCCAGGATGAGGCTGAGCAGGACGCTCTCTGCCCACTGAGGGCTATGAAGCAGACAATTCTCCTCCACCGGGTCTCTTGCTGAGCAGCAATCAATCCAAGGAATGATTGGAAATGACGAGGCAATTTTTACATATTGAAGATACATTTTTATCATCCACAACATGGCTTCTAAAAGAATCCCATCGCATGCTGTGATTGTTGCAGTTTTGTTATACGGGCGAGATAAATGGCCAGCCTGCGGAGCAATCTTGTCCTTCTTCCTAATCCAAGTCACTGCTGTGATCTGATTTGCTGCTGTTTAGTATTAATACAATGTCCAGAAAAACATTATTACATCAACGGACTACATGGTGTTCAAGCTCCTGTGTCCCTTCTTTCCTCCCTTGCTCAATTTTGTTCAATTTGTGGAGAAAATATTTTTCACGGTTTATGGCT